CAACCTTGGCAACTTTAAGCCTGGAGGACTTCAACTCCCAGAATGCCTCAGCCAGCAAAGCTGGCTGGGGTATTCTGGGAGTTGAAGTCCTCCAGGCTTAAAGTTGCCAAGGTTGGAGACCCCTGCCTTAGATAGAGAATTGGGGTCCTCTTTATGACTTGTGGACTTCAAGGCCCATGCCATGCCAACTCAAGAATTCTGGGAGTTGAAATCCACCTGCGACTTAGAATCATGAAGCGTGAAACTAAAAATGAAAATGAAGAAAATAAACAATAAATAGTACAAGCCATCAAGGCCAAGGCTGATATCATATACCACATGTAGAGAAGAAGTCCTTGTGACTGCAAAGATTAAATGCTTGCTGGAAGGCATCCAGGGGCCAAATGTAAGACTTTTGCACTGGGTACGGTTTCGTGTTCCTATCTAAGCTTAACCAATAACAAGTACTGTGATCCTTGAGTTACAACTGTAAACAAAGCCTCACTGAGGGGAGAAGGAGGCGAGTGTTAGAACTTCAGTTCTGGTTTGTAAATCTCCTTTTTTCAGGTAGGTAATAACATTGAATGGTCACTGACCAACTGGTCATAAGTTGTGGACTACCTGTATTTGAAAGGTATTTCAGTAAAGAAAGTCCTCAACTTAAAACCATTCACTTAATGAACATTTGAAGTCAACAACTGAAAAAAAAAGTTACTTATGACCCTTTTTCACACTTACAACCATTGCAGCATCTCCATGGGTATGTGATCAAAATCAAAACACTTGGTTTTAGGTAATGAGAAAGGGAACTTAGATCAGACCCAGATTTAAAAGAGATATACGTAATGTAGTAATTATTAGAAAATTATTATTGTGTCTTTTTCTTCTTTTTTAAAGTGTTAATTCAAAGTTAAATTATGGGAATCTTGGGGGGGATTAATTATGTGATACATTTAACCATAGGGATGGTACTTTGGAATTGGCAAATAGGGGTGTTGTATTGTTGTTGGTGTTATTTTTTATTAGTATGTTGAAAATGTGTGAATTGCTGGAATGATGAATTAATAGATGAGTAAATTGCAGACCTGACAAATAATAATAAGATAAAATATAATGAATATGAAAATATATAATGATGTATTAAGGATTTAAATAAATAGATCAAACAATGTATTGGAAAAATTATAAAATTAGATGGGAAAAGCTTGATGATTAAAATTAAAGAAAATATATAAAGTAAGTTTAAGATAAGTTATCAAATGTGAAAGATGAATATGAAATTAAGTCAAGTTTGTAATGGAAATGTGTTGACCTGGAATCATGCTGTTCGCTGAAAGAAGATTTTCTCTCTCTCTCTAATATGTGAAAATTGAATAAAACTTTTGCAAAAAAAAATCAAAACACTTGGCAACTGGCAGATATTTATGTCAGTTGCAATGTGTGCTGGGCTCATGTGATCACCTTTGGTGACCTTCTGACAAGTAAAGTTACTGGGGAAGTCAGATTTACTTAAGTTTGCAAATTTGTGTTAATAACTTAACAACTGCAGTGATTCACTTAACAACTGTGGCAAGAGAGGCTGTAAAATGTGGCAAAATTCAGTTAACAACTATCTCATCTAGCAACGGAAATGTTGGGCTCAATTGTGGTTGTAAGTTGAGGAACAAAATTTCTGAAAGCTTTCATAACATTTGCAGAATTGGTGCAAGTTTCTGTTTGTCTTTTATTTCCACCCTGATTGAAAGAGAAATTAGTTCAGAATCATTCATGTCCTCCAAGCGTCCAGTCACAAGGTTTCTACACTGTCACATTTTCTCAGACCATGTACAAAATTATGAAGACACTATTGTTTGAAAGGAGGATAAAAACAAAAGGATAAAAACAACTCTCTTATCTGCCATGCATGAAAGGCGTGCATTTTAAGTAACCATGTGAAATTACTTACTGCAGCGCACTAATTACCCCGAAATTTAATTTTCCTTTCTGGATTTTAAGAAGATAAAAGAAGTGTAGGAAATGCCACAACTTAAAAACGATCCTTGGCTGCATTTGTTGAGAAAGGTATAGTCTATTAGGGATCAAGTATATCACAGTAGTGCAAAGCCAGAACTGAAAATCGAGAGTCAAAATCCCTACTTTCCCCTCCCTTGATTATCTCTCATTGCCCACCCCAATGTACCCAATCAGGTTCAGACAAGATGTTTTCCTAAAGGTTAATTCAAGCACAGGTTGGTACGCAGCCCCCTCCTTCCCCCATCTGGGTGACCTTGAAGCAGCGTCTCAAGGAGATACAGCACTTACTTTTGTTTCCGAAGTATTCCCCCCTCCTTCCACCTCCCCACAGCTCATGGCAGTCTATCACCACACAGCTACTACAAGCAAGCATGAGGGGGAAGCTGACATGAAGAACATGCTTGTGAAGAATGGCATAGGAGTTTGTAGAGAGACATTTTGAGGAAAATATATATATCAGCATTTAGAGAAATCTCAGAGAATTATTACAAATGGCCTGAACTGAAAATTAACCCCCCCACCCCCCCGCCGTTTGCTACTTTTCAGAATTTGTTTTGACTACAATTCCCATCATTTCCCTACAACTCCCATTACATTCCATGTTTTGTAGCCCAGCAATCATTTTCAGGCCACTGATGTGGAGAGATTAGCATGGGTTCTCTGCCTTAAGCCAGGTATATTTCTACATTTATATATGTATGTATGCTAGATTTATACCCTGCTTCTTCGTTCATCGGCAGTGGCCTTAGATTTGTCCTCGACTTACGACCACAATTAAGCCCAAAATTTCTATTGCTAAGCGAGACAGTTGTTAAGTGGGCTTTGCACCGTTTTACAACCTTTCTTGCCACATTTGTTAAGTGAATCACTGCAGTTGTTAAGTTGGCAATGTGGCTGTTAAGTGAATCAGGCTTCCTCGTTGGCTTTGCTTGTCAGAAAGCGGGTAAAAGGGGATCACATGACCCTGGGACACAGCAACCGCCATAAATATGAGTCTATTGCCAAGTGTCTGAAATTTGATCATGTGACCATGCGGATGCGGCGATGGTCCTAAGTGTGAAAAACAGTAATAAGTCACTTTTTGCAGGGCCGCTGTTATGGCCACTAAACAAATAATTGTAAACCAAGGACTACCTATAACCCTTCCTTCTGCCTCCTTCTCCTCCCCCCCCCCCCCACAAAACCTCTGCAAAATAAATCGGGAGGAAAGTGCCCGGCACAAAATCCCACAGGGAACGTCTCAGGCTGAAGTGGGATTTGAACTCAGATCTCTCCACTCCTAGTCCAGCATCTTCCCCGCTAGGACATGTGACCTTTAATGGAATCAGATGCCTGTTCAGTTGCAAATACCTCATAATTGTGTAATCATCACTGCACACTACACCAAAGAACACACAGAGGCATTAAAACCCTCTGTGATTGACTGCAGACTGCTGTAGATTTTGTAGCTGTGTTAAAATCCTTGACTTACAATACTTCACTTAGTGACCCTCAAAGTTACGACGGCGCTGAAAAATGATGACTGTTTTTCAGTTATGACCTTTGTAGCATCCTCATGATCATGTGATCAAAATTCTGGTGCTTATATTTATGACGGTCGCGGTGTCCCTGGGGGGGGGGCGTCATGTTATCCCCTTTTGCGACCTTCTGGCAAGCAAAGTCAACGGGGAAGCCAGATTCACTTAACAACCCCGGTTACTAACTTATCAACTGCAGTGATTCACTGTGGCAAGAAAAGTCATAAAATAGGGCAAAAATCACGAATGTCTCGCTTAACATAAAGTTTGGGCTCAATTGTGGTCATAGGTCGAGGACTACCTGTACAGGCAATCCTTGACTTACAACCATTCTTTTTGAGACCATTCAAAGTTACAATGGCACTGAAAAAAGTGACCTATGAATTTCCATTGCTAAGCAAGTTAACCCGATTTTATGACCTTTTACGCCATAGCTCTTAAAGCAAATCATAGCTATTAAATGAATCGTGTGGTTGTTCGGCGAATCTGACCTCCCATGTTGATTTTTCTTGTTGGACACCAGCTGGCAAAGTTGCAAATCATGATCACATGAACCCAGGATACTGTACTGTGTTGGTTGCCAAGTCCCCAAATTAGAGTCACGTGACCCTTGGGAATGCTGTGATGGTCATAAGTTGTAAGGAGTGGTTTTAAGTCTGTTTTCAGTGCTGTTGTATTTTCAAATGGTCAGTCAATGAATGGTTGTAAGTGAAGGACTATCTGAGGTGCTTTTTTTGTGTGTTTTATTTTGTTTTCACAAATCTCATCCTTGCTCCAAGAGTTTCCATTTTCCTTTCACAATAAAACAACAAGGTGATTTTGATGGGGAAATGTAGCGAAGTTTCACACGTAGTGCTAAGCTTCCTTGTGCCATGAGGGTGGGGCCATGAGTTTAGCACACTCTCCCCAATCTTTGGGGGTGACATCAGATGTGAAGATTTCAGCTTCCTGAATTCTAGCAGGGTCAATCATGGAATGAGAGAACT